AAGCTTTAAGTAAGGAAAATGTAAAGCCCAGAGAAGTAGAGGTTAATTTAATCTAAGAAATGGAGATTTAACAGTGCTCGGTGTTCCACTGGTTATTCTGTGTAGGATTCACGACTGCTAGATTGCCAGTGGTGTGCCCAAGTGTTAATTTTTTGAAGTTTTAAATTTTTTTGGTGAAAGAGTTTTAGTTGAAAAGCATTTTGGTGTCCCCCTTTAAGTACGATTATCTATGAGCCAAGAAAATTCCATTCAGGGACTAGCCTCCTTCCCTGTGGGCATGTTGAAAAGCAGGAATAGTCAGAGGGAGGTTTTCAGGCTCTGAAATTCTTCTTAGCCAGGAAAGGAGATAGGAGAAATGGCCATTTAATTTTCTATAATAGAAGTAATATTCCAAAGTTCTGAAATAGAAGCCCTTCAAAACCATAATATACAAATAAGGACTACGTCATCGTTTATAAATATTATAAAGACTGAGTGGGAAACTGAAGAGCATGGAACAGATGTCTCCTGGAAAAGAGTGTTAATATCAAGCTTGCTACCAAACCTTCCTCAGGAAACTGCGAAAATGAGGAAGTAGCTCTCGGTGGTTCCTTATCTGAGGGTGGCAATATCTATTTCATGTGACCTTGTGTCCGGGCCACAGCCGACTAGACCAATCAACACAGAAGCGGATTTGCAGCCCACAAGTGCCTCGATGAAAAAATTATTCCCGTGTCTGTGAGTCCATTTCTGTTTTGTTAAGAAGTTCATTTGTATCATTTTTTGGTTACCAAAGGGGAAAGGGGAGAGATAAGTTGGGAATTTGGTATTAACAGATACACACTATTATACATAAAATAGGTAAACAACAAGGACCTACTCTATAGCACGGGGAACTCTATTCAAAACCTTGTAATAACCTATAATGGAAAAGAATCTGAAGAAGAATATATGTATAATTGAATCACCTCACAGTATATCTGAAACATTGTAAATCAACTATACTTCAATTAAAAAAAACATTGTAGTGTTTTGTACAGATCTGATTTGTCTTAAAAAATTGTTTAAAATATACTCTAGAACTGTATCCGTTCAGTATGGCAGTCCTGATCAAAACAAAACCAACAAAACAAAAACCCATAGGTTACAACCTACTGAGAAGTGGGTACTCAGTACTTGAAATGTGGCTAGTCCAAATCCAGATGTCCTGTAAGGATAAACTACACATCGAAGATCAAAAACTTAGTACAAAAAATTAATGTAAAAATCTCATTAATAATATTTACATTGTTACGTGGATAATATATTGACTATACTAGGTTAAATAAAAATACAATTAAAACTGTAAAAAATAAAAGTTATTCACAAACAGAGTTGAGGGCAATTGGCTGGACCAGAATAAGTCTGGAGTACTAGACTTATAGGAGAGTAACATAATTGGAAAGAGAAGAGACACAAAATAGCACTCAGCAGCACAGGCACAGAGAAAGCAACGAAGCAGCAGCAGAGTCGGCCTCAACAGATACCTGCTTCTACAGGAAACCCATCAGCGTTTGTACGGATGCACAAGAGAAAGTAAAGCCTTATCCTCACTTCTTTCTCTCCCTTCCGCCTCCCTTCCTCCTTCCCTTTTTCTCTCTCTGCAAGGTAATCAGAATCTTTTTTGTTCCTTACAATCCATGTGCCTACCAAGCACAAAATAGTTATTTAAATCTCTTACTTCATTAGGAAGCAGTCAGGCGTTCAGCGATGTTTTTGAGAGCCTAATCAGAGACTGGGATGGACTCAGGATACAGGGCGAACAAAACGGATGTGATTCCTGCCCTCATGCTCGGCACACAGTCTTCATCAATTTTCAGGTTCCATTGAAATAAGTATGTTAAGTAATGACCATCCTAAACTGCTAATATTTCAGAAAGAACTAGGCGTCTAGGTTATATTTGTAAAGTGATGACAAATAAATCTCAATCTACCGGTGGTACACATTAGAGGATTCCAGGCAGAAAGGAATAATTTAGAATTTCTCATGTTATTTCTTGTCTACACCAACAACCATCGTCTAGATTTACCCAGAAAAATAATTTAAAAGAAAATAACAGATTTCTTCCCTTTGCTAGCCTAAGTTATAGCAAATAAAATTTCAAATACTCTCTCTAAGCCTAATGCCCTAGTATGTGAAAAGCAATTTTCTTGACAATTGATCATTTCAAATAAACAAAGCAGACAGAGGAACTGATTGTGAGGACAAATAATAGGTTGGAGGGGGAAATGTCATTAGGGAGGTAAGTGGAAGTTTTTATTTATATTTATAAAACAACACATAAAACTCAGAGAAAATATAGGGGAGGAAAAATAAACTCAAAATGTACAAAGGGACTTTGGAGATCGAGAACAATTTATTAGGTTTATTATTTATATATTTTATTTATAAAAATTATTATTTGATACGTTTATCAACTGAATTTCCCTTGAAATGTTTGAAATAGTTATTTTGCCTACAAAAATATTCTCTGGAATAGGAGAGGTTTAAATCTGAAATACATTTTCATTGCAAATGGAACTGCACACTACCACACTTAAAAGAATAGACCACCTCAATTTTAACCAATTGGTAAAGGGCAACTGAAACTTGATTGCATTTGTGCCAACATTCATTTGTTCATTCATTCAGCAAACATTCGTTGAGGATCTACAACGTGCTAGGCACAGTGGGGACAGAAGTAAGTATTAGACTGGCAGAAATTCATGGAACTGTATCATATGTGCATAACAGACACAAATACAAAGTGATACAGGAAGACATCCTTTTAGTAATTACTGTTTAGTTATTTTCCATTAAAGTTATGTACAGTTTTCACTATTATAAATAATGCTATGAAGAATATCTTTGTATCAAGAGACTTGGGGGCATATTTTGTGGTATTTAGGATAGTTTCTTTCGGAAGGTTCCCAGATGTGGATTTACTGGGGTTTAGGTTATAAACATCTTTATAAAGTTCTCGTTGCCTACTACCGATATGCCAACCAAAATGTTTTGCCAGTTTTATTTTCATCAGCTGAGAAAACGTTCACTTAACCCACTAACTTCAAAAGTGAAAAAACAGCCATCAAAAATGTGTTTGAAACTCTTAACTGTATATGAATTTGAGGTAAAATTTCGTAAGCAGAGCTGTGGATCGGATCTGCATTTTTAATAATACAGTTCTGGCAGTGATGCAGTCCGTGGGCCAGCGACACAAAAACAAAACAGAACAAAACCTCAGCTGGGAAGCTACTGCAATAGCCCAGGGGACACCTAAGAGAGCTACTCACATACTAAAGAGAAGAAAAGAACTAACAATTTAATGTTTTGCCAGCTTGTGCCTTTCTTTGGTTATAGTTTTAAAATGGCATCGCTGTTGAAAGGATCAGCCTACTTCCTGCTTCTGTAAAAGGAGCATCTTTTCTGGTGGGAACTCTACCGTGGTCTCAGTTGACTGCTTTGCATATGTATATGAAGGTGAAAAAAGATTGTTTAAATGATCAAGGCAGCTTTTCAAGTCTACTTAAAACTCATTTTATAGATCTCCATTTATTCGAGTCTTATTTAGAGCTCCTCAATCAAATTTTATGCTTTTCCTTTAACTAGGTCCTCCACCTTTCTTGTTTAATTTCTCTTTAGGTCTTTCTCATTCTCATCTATGGGGAATTATTATTTTTTTCCCATTTTTATTCCTAACTGGTTATTCTAACATAAAAGTATTGCTTTTGTTGTAGTACGTATCTTGAAAATACTCCTTTCCTGGGTTTTCTTATTGGTTTTAATAGGTCTTTTTTTTTTTTT